GTTTGTTTCTTTTGTCTTCCTGTTTCCGTGACATGCTTTTGTGATGTTTACGTTTGTATATGTTTACTGAAAATCAATGAAAGATAAAAAAAATGTATTCATGATGAACATGTTCTTGATGAACCTTGATTGCAAATTTTCTTTATCCATGTTTGATTTGTCTTGGTTTATTTCGAGCAGCGGGTCGTGTTTCTGGGTTGGATCAACCCGACCCAATTCAATATTAAAAAAAAATTAAAAAGGGTTAAAAAGTAAAAAAAATTAATAATATAAAATTGTTAATTAATTAAAAAGGTTAGTTTAATTTATAATTAACGAAATTAATTAATTTTAATTAAAATAAATTAATCATATTTATTGAGTTTGATTTGAGATGATTAGATTTATTTAGTTATCTCAATCAAAGAATTAGTAAATATGATTAATTAATTTTAATTAATCTTAATTAATATTAAGTGAATTATTTTGATTAATTAATTTTAACTTTTAATTAACTTAAATCCTGGTCATCTTTTATTTTATCTCAATTTCATCCACAAGTTTTATGATTAAGCAATTCAGTCCCAAAGTTTTGAATCTTTTTAAATTAATCCTTCATGTTTTCGAATTTAATCAAATTAGTCCCTTTAATGTTATTTGTGCTTATGATGCATGCTTGTCGTTGGTTTTGTCCATTTTAGCCCAAAAATTAAAAAATGTTTCAATTTGGTTTACCCTTCTTTCAAGCTTGCTTATTAAGACTTAAATACAAACATGATGAATTAGTTGAATCAAAACCCCCAATGTTAAAGTATGCAACCGTGTTTAAACGGAGGATTGTGAGGTGCGCGTATGCCCTTCCTCACTCCTAACCGAACCCCCGAACTCTAATTTCTGCGTAGACCCGTTTTAAGTGACTTGTCCCACCTTATAATTTGGACGAGTGGCGACTCTCTTTTTCTTATATATTTTACACTTGATTTTTCATTTGTTTTAAAAAAAAATCTTAAGTGGTCGTCAACACTTGTCAGTTAGATCAAATCAAAACAATGTGTGCAAAAAAAAAAAAAATTGAAGAAGGTTATTTTGTCATGAGTTACATTTGCAAAGAGTTAAAGACGTGGGTCT